TTCAGACTGAGACCATTTAGTCAAAAAAGACAAGCTGACACCTTTCCTCATGTGCTAATTTTGCTGTTATGCATTCTTTCAAAAAGGGTAGGCGAATTAGTCAGAAAGTGGGGGATAAAAATAGTATTTGAAGAAACCCATACACTTTCTTCTGTTATGCCATCTTTTTTAGAGAAATATGATCCATTATCGAGATTCGGCTGCTACAATATTATTTGCTCATGTGGTCGATGTTATGCTAGTGAGACATGCCAACCTATTCGATAAAATTGGGAGAACACAAAAATGCTTGATAGGAAGCTGGCTCCAACGCTCAGAAATGAACGAATACTTGATAGAAACTGGACATGAAATAAAATGCTCTCAAACTAGTAGGTTTGCTGATTATGGTACGTTTGTGGTTAAAGAAAAGATAAGAGAAGCTATTGAAATTAATAGCTTGGAAATACGTTGAATGTGAGGAACGGTGATGGACCGTTTAGTAGGAACTATTTATGGCAGTGCGAACATACCAGAGGCCACATATCTTCAGGAACTATTTATGCTTTAGTGATAGATTGAAGGAAAGAGAGGGTGTTGAACCGCCGTCAAAAAGAAGGCGACTCAATTTGTCTACTCGGTGATTGTTCTAACTTCACTCACTCGTCCAACATGTTAGTTTAAGTTCATCAACCTTGGGGGGTTAAACTTCAATGACCCTAGAATGAAGATTAGGACATGTGGTTTCGTAACTTGACTTACATGCTTACAAGCTTACATCTCATTTTCTCAACCAAACTTGCTTATGGATTTACACAGTCTCTGTTAAGGCTTTCTCTTAGGGCATTAAGCTTAGAGGACCAGAGCCTGACATTAGTCTTTTTAACATGGATTTAAGTCAGATATTGTGTATTGAGGTCAAGGCACATACATATATATACACACACACACACACACACCAGATACTCGAACAAAAGTAGCAGGACAAATATGAAAGATAATTATCTAAACCGTTCTATATCTGCGGAGAAACGTTGGGTTTTGAGAAATCTTTTGCTTCATTATTATTGAGCCTACTTCCATTTCGAGGGAAAGTGTTTGGTGAAGAGATTCAAAGATCGATTCCATCATAAGACTATGGCGTCGATTGGCTTGACTGGAACATTTATGTTAACGCTGTGAAAAAGTGCTAAGCTTTAATCCCTCATATAACGAACATCATCAAAAGCAAGTTAGCATTCTTAAAACCAAATTCAAGCTAACGAGTCAAGAAAACTGACCGGCACATCCCTAATAAGCTGTCTATATACTCTATATCTGGCCACTTTCATGAGGTATAAAGTGATTAGGTTTGGTCCAGTAATATGTCATATGGCATGTGGGTTTGTCTGTTTCTGTATGTGTATGCGCCTGTATGCGTTCGCCTATGCACGAAGCCAGCAGTGCTGGCTCAAATTAGCTAGGATAGCAAAAGTAGCGTCTGTTCTCGGCCATCAAGATTTGATAACCACTATCTTCCCCTTTCTACATATAGGTTATAGTCATCACTCCGATTGCGCAAGATTTCACACGTTTGATTGTGTTGATGGGCCTTTTATTTGTCTTCATGTGGGAGAGAAAGAGTGGGCTAAAAGTAAAGAGAAGTGACTATGATTAGAGCCAAGACAATAAAAGCATATATGAGATGTAGTAGTATCAAAACTCTACTTATATAAGAAAAGACTAATTGAGGAATCTGCCGTCGCCTACTGGTGGAAACGACCTTCGAATTTCTACACTCGAAATGGAAGCAAGCTCAACATTATATCTATCTAGGTATTTTTACTATATTTTTCCTAAATGAGCCAATATAAGAGGTAAGTTGGAGCAGGATAATCTTCTTGACCTAGTGCTAAGGTAAGACTTTTACAAGAATGAGTTCCAGCTCTGATGATGTCCATGATATGTTGAACGAAAGCTCATCACGTTTTTACCCAAAACCAGGGAGGAGGTCTCGTGTACCGTGTCAACCTGAACGTCGTATAAAGGCCAAACGGCTACAGTACAACGGAATTCACCCATCCTGTTCTGGTGAGATCGACCTATCAATTTCTTCTTCATACACTTTCATTCGAAATGAAAGTCCCTCCAACAAATTTATGAATAAACTTGATGAACGAATCAGATTCACAATGGAGGTGGAGGAAAACGAACGTCTACCTCTTCTGGATGTTGAGCTAACTCGGTACAACGGGAGGCTATTCAAAAAGAAATCGCATGCGGGAATGATACTCGATTTCTAGTCTCATCACAACTACAGACTGAAGATAGAATAATGAGGAGTTTGATCATCAGAAGCCTAAGACTAGCGGACCCTTAGTTCTGAGACGAATAGATGAATATACTAACTTGGATTTGCTTTAGCAACTGGTACCCCAGAGAATTAATAGATAAAAATATAGGGGTCATAAAGAGCATATTTCAACTAGGTTAATAAGAAAATAAGCTCAGGATTCGCGAGGACGTCCAAAAGTGGATATGTCTATCCTCCCGTGAACTGAGCAAAAAATTGCGACTGTTAATAAGACAATGGAAGAGCAAGGTGATAAAAAAGGAAAATACAACATTCTTGACCAGCCTACCAACGCAACGGGGGAAGGTTGACAAACTTGATTGACTCGTAGTCTATAGCATCAAATGCGGCAACTGTGAGCAGAAGTATATTGTTGAAACAGGAAGAAATATAAGCCTACAAATCAAGGAACCCCAAAGACTCTGCAGAAACATGGACACTGAAAGATCCGAAAGTCAGATCCGATTCTGCAGAAGGGACATGAAATCGACTGGAACCGACAGAACAACTGTCTGCATATGGTGAAAATACAAGATGATGCAAGATACGAAAAGCCATCAATATCCTGACTGAAACAATTCTAATGAACATGAGACTTGGAGCAGGCAAGATTAGCAAGAACTTTGCATATTGCCCGAGAAAACTCGTAGATCAGGTAATAGAAAGATCAGCAAAAAGAAGACGACTGGATCAAGTGATTATTTTTAATATAAAAAAAGTAATTACAACGAGACCAGAGAGGAAAAATCGGAGACCAAGAGGAAACGTCTACAGCGAGCCATCACATTTTGGGGTCGACATGCAAGAGACTGGGGCATACGTAAATCATAGACTTGACACTAGGGCTAGAAGAGCAAGAGATGCGGCAGAGACCATTGATAGTTAGCTATTAGCAGGCACGCTTGCTTATATACGTGGTCTATGAAGTAAAAACTTGACCATGAGATCTACTCGGTTCGCATGCCGCACACGATAAGCGAATCTACAGCGTCAAGTTAGCTTGTAATGTCAATTGAGAATGCAAACTTTAGGGGCTTGGTCAGTGAGGCTGGCCTATACGTGCCTGCAAAGGCTTGAGGCAGTGTAGAACATAACACCTCGACTAGCACGGATATGGCGGCAGGGATTGAGTGAAGCCACGGAATCAGGTGGATAAGAGACGGATCCTAGTGGGCAAGAGGGAAACGCTAATAAGACCTTGAGAAAGAGGATTGCGGATTAAACTGTAGCCTTGGATCAACACTACCAGAACACTGGAGGGATGTGAGAACTATTGAGCAGTGTGATTAGGTCTCAGCTAAGTTTAGATAAACCATATGAAATTGTGATATTGAGGGGTTGTTACGAGGATGTAGGATAGATGAACACACCGGGACAGAGGGAGAGATATCACAACTGTTTAGCAGACATTTGGTCTAAGGATCGACTAACTTGTCTCTGACGAGTTGTGATGTGATGCTAACAATGGCAAGGCTTACTGATGCTGCGGACGAAACGTCTGCGAATATACCAAGTCCACGGTCCGACTGGAATTTATGCTATGGAGGCCTGCAAATATCAAACTTTACTTTAAGAAATTTCTCCAGAAAGGAACAAAGACAAAGTCTGAGCGTTTCTTTAAGGCCCACTTCCTCAAGGCTTTAACAATATGAGTCCCAAATTTGATTGCTTGAGATTGCATATTGAACGATTACATTTAATTTTAGTTCACTTATCCTTGCGCATTAAGTAAAATTATCATAAAATTTGTCTTTGTTTAATAATTTGAAGAGCTCGGAAGCCGAAGTTTAGGCAACTTTCACTCAAATGGATAAACATCTTTTAAGAAAGGTTGTGCCAAATTATGTCTATTTTTACCGGAGCTGATAATTCAATTGTTTTCCTTGCTCAGAATTTTGAACAGATCACGACCTTTCTCAACTGATTCTTAGCTATTATGTCATATCTTTACTAGTTTTAATGTAAGTTAAAAGTATGACAAAGCAGTAATTAAAGCTTTTTTGCTATGTAGTTGTTCATTGTAGCACCATTTTAGCATTCTAAGACTAAAAGGACTTTTCATTTCTATAAGATTTGTTTCTCGCTTTAAAGCTTTTCTTTATTCTATTTATTACTTTCCTCCCAATAATAAATGTTGCCGTCATAATCTGCGTAGTCTAACCTTAGCGCCAATTCATCATATCGCCCAGGATACAATCTGCCTAAGGTCTATCAGTCTTCGACCAACATAGCTTTCTCTAACACCGTCTCTGCCAGCTTTGCGTCCCAGATTTGTGATTCCCAAGTGATGTCACATTCGGGCATAAAATCGACCCCAGGGCTCCATCTGCTTCCATCTGGCTACCAGGGGGATGAATCTATTGAATTCCCATCGGAAATGTCCCATAATTTTGGTTTTGTCGCTTCTACTAATTCAACATCTACCACCAGGCATGATCAAACCCTCGATCTCACAGTCAATTTTAGAGAGTCCTATCCACTTATAAATCACTCTATCTACTCTTCGCCGGAGCCCGTTATGTACCGAAAGGAAAACTGTTTTGTGAATCAGAAAGGCGGCGATTTGAATTCGGCGGTAAATTGCACCAGGACTCTGATAGGGCCACTTGGTGCTATAAAATTAGACAGCTCTAATGACCTGACCGGAATAGGGGATCATATGGATTCTTTAACACAAGACAATCACAGTCACGACCACCAGCGATACCAAGGGCAGCATCAGCGACAATATCACATATACACAACTCAACCCTCCGCACAACTATTACCAGTGCGTTTTCCACCCTGTGAACAAGTGATACAGTCAGAGCTAAGTATCCGTCCTTCGTTCGCCTGGGTTCTCCAACTTGTATACTTTGGCGGCTGGCATGCCAAGATATATATGGGGGCCGCTATGTTGGGAGCCAACTGCACGACTGGGATGTCCTGTTTGATGCGGCGTGAGGTGCTTGATAGGGCAGGAGGTTTGGCCAGTTTCGGCCAATATCTGGCAGAAGACTACTTTATTTCAAAAGCATTCTATGAAGAGGGCTGGAGAGTCAGAATTGCACATCAGCCAGCCTGGCAAAACTCGCCTGCGCCTACAGTGAGCCAATTTCATTCACGTATCTTCCGATGGTACCAGCTGCGTTTGGCAATGCTGCCACAATCAGCGATTGCTGAGCCGGTTACACAGTGCCTAACCAACGGTCTGATATGCGCATTTGCATGGGCCCATCTTTGTCCTGGGCTTGTGGACCCAGTTGTCTACCTACTCGTACATCTGCTCATCTGGTTCCTGCTCGATTACCTTATGCTCAGTCAGATGCACCCGACATATGCACATGTCTCCATTTCTAAGGTGAGTTAATATCTGGTGTAACAAGTGTTGTTGATAATTTTCAGCATAGTACTGAAGAAGCAGAATGTGCTATTAAATTTCTATTTGACAATGTAACCAAATTTGAGTTAACTTCTTTAGTCGGGGGTATGAATACCAGGATGATGTAACCTTTACTCTGGCCGCGGTCCCCTTTCCTATCATAGAGTTCGTTTGACCTTATTTTTCTATTTTTCGTATGTAAGTAGAGTTTCGAGACTACCAGTAAATCAGTAATATGAGATGTATTCACCCTATTTCGTTTAAGATGATCAAGGGCTGGTAGTAGAATTTTTAATGAATGGCTTCACCCCGTTCTCAAACTTCGTCCCAATGTATAGGAGACCTAGCTAAATGCACATTTTCGGAAGTCATCTGTCAGAGGGATCATGTTAATTTATAGCGTCTAGTAATGGACGTTCCTACAGTAAATTCATACAGCTGCGCTGGGTATTAACATAGTTACCATGGCAGAGGAATTAGGACAATATGCATTTATCAAGGTCTCTTACAATACGAACAAGTTAGAAAAATAAGTAATTTGAGATGTATTCACCATATTTCATTTCAGGTGATGAATGTTCCCACAATGATATGAGTAGAGCTGACGTTTCCATTGAATTTCACATAGCCTTGCTTTCCCAAAAGTTGGTTTCCTTCAACCTTGCTTTTTTCGACCAAAAGTTGTTGACGAAGGACTGGTAGAAGAATTTTCCCACAATGCTATGAGTTGAGCTGACGGCCACGATGATATGAGTTAAGCTGACGTTTCCATTGAATTTCACATAGCCTTGCTTTCCCAAAAGTTGTTCTCATCCCTAGGCACCAGTGGTCTGCAGTTTCGACCTCGCATTGGTCTTATCAACACCCTCAGCGGGATTCGAACCGCGACGGCCGAGGTGGACTGCAGTTAACACCCTCAGCGGGATTCGAACCGCGACAGTGGACTGCAGTTTCGACCTCGAATTGGTCTTATCAACACCCTCAGAAAGATTCGAACAGCGACAGTGGATTTAGACCTCGCTATGTGAAATTCAATGGAAACATCAGCTCTACTCATATCATTGTGGTAAAATTATCCTACCAGTCCTTCATTACCTTAAACGAAATAAGGTGAATACATCTCATATTACTTATTTTTCTAACTTGATAGTATTGTAAGAGACCTTGATAAATGCATATTGTCCTAATTCCTCTGCCATGGTAACTATGTTAATTCCCAGCCCAGCTGTATGAATTTGCTGTAGGAATGTCAATTACGCGACTCTATAAATCAACATGATCCCTTTGACAGACGACTTCCGAAAATATGCATTTAGCTAGGTCTCCTAGACAATGCGACGAAGTTACGAGAACGAGGTGAAGCGAATCATAAAAATATTTTTGTCAGACTTCCAAATTATACAGTTCATCCTTTATTTGGTGACTGCTCAATTCTGAACGTACAGGATTATATTTGGCATTTAGTACTTTGAACAAATATTTGCAGTCTATATATACTTAAAAAATATATTTTTGAGGAGACTTTAATTTCGCATGAAACTGCATGAAGAAGAGCTTCGAAAGTCAATCTCATCAGAAGTCGACGACTATTTCCCCTAGTACTACACACTTTTACAAGAATGCGTTACAGCTCTGAGAATGTTCTTCATATCACGAACAAGAGCTCTGCCTGTTTTAACTCGAAACGAGGGAGGATTTCTTGTGGACTGCGTCAACCTGAACGCTGTATCAAAGTCGAACAGCTGCAGTACACCGGGACTCAGGTGTCTTCTTCTGGTAAGATCGACCTTCGAGTCCCTTCTTTATGAGCTTTCGTTGCTGGGAAATTAACTTTCAGTCCTCAATAACATTAAGCTACCTAGGGTAATTAAAGCTCTTATTCAAGACCTATCGAT